ATCCCACATTATACTTTCAAAGGGAGGTGGCGATTATTATACAATTGGTGGTGATGCTGGCTTAAATTGACTTGGAGTGGGCAGCTTTCCTTGTAATTGGATGACAGATAACTCTTGAAATAATTGGCTTTTGAACATTTGGAGGATTTAGTGATACTTTGCCATTTGGCACTCGGAAAGAGGAGTATGATCACATCACTGGTGAATGACTTGTAAATTCTACTCAGTATTTTAATTAGTGACTGTGTTTAGAAGATAAAACACTAAAGAATTACAATTTGTAAAAGCAGTTGAAATTAGAATATCATGGTCTTTTCATCTTTTCTCTCAGATAAATATTCCTGTTTCTGACATCAAAAATTTCAGCAAGAGAATTTTCCTTTCCACTCAGAATATATGCCACACAAAATTTCACACTGACTTTATGATTGCCTAGTATCAGCCAGTTAGAAATGTGAAGCTGCTTGTCAGGAAACACATTTGGCTGCTTTAATATTTTAGAGATCACCATATTTTCTAAATACTCAACTGCTTCCTGTCAGCAAGCTTAGTTTATATTTTTTTCCTTTTCTTTTCAAAATATTTTAAGTATGTTGCCATATTTTACTGTGCCATTTTACTCCTGTCAAAGGAAAAATATGTCTCTTTTCTGAAGGTTCTAGCTGTCATTTTATGAAGCTGGTAGAAACCTGCCTTTCTGGTTTTTACTGCTGCTGCATTATAAAGCATAACTTTATGACTCATTTTGAACAATTCTTTGTTTGCTGATGATTTTTCAAATCTTTCCCTAATCAGAATGTAAGCCTTTATCAGATTTAATTATGAAGCTAACTCTTTAAATTTTAGAAATATTCTCAGTCCAGATTGGTTATTCAATGTTTTTCTTCTCTCCCTTTGATGGAGTTTTCTACCTGAAGTGTGTGTAATGATCAGGATTGGACTCTGTTTGGAAGCAGGATGCCACATTATTCTTTAGTTTTGCTTTTAGGTCAGCTTTCAACAAAGCAGGGCACTCTCAAAAATCTATACAACCATGCTAATGGAGTCAGTGACCTTGTTTATATAATTCGTTTAATTCAGTCAAAGGGGGGATTAATGTGTCATGTGAACACTTGACTGCAGTGATAGAAAGATTAATAGAGCTTTCATTGGTCAATCATGTTCATACAAAGTTAGTGGAGCTTGAATCCTTTCTCTTCCTACTGCTCTCAAGATAAGTCTTTGGATAGTGGCACAAAGTTGGGTTTCTCTAGACATACTATACCCATAACACACAGCCAAAGGAAACAGAAAATGTTGGGAATAGGTATAGTGTTGGATCCCCATTGGGCCACTAGTGATTTGCATTTCCCCCCTCTGATTCTGAAAGTTATTAGAAGAAATGACAGTTCCCCATCCTTTTTGTAGGGGCTGGGAAGATACCTAAAACAAGCACTCCCTGCTTGACTCCATCATTCTTGATCATGCTGGTAGGGCAGTGTTAAGTCTGTTACTTGGATAAATGGATGACTGAGTCAGTTGTCTTGTTCAACCAGCCTTAATAAGATTTTTGCAGGAGGAAAAGATCACACCTACGCAAGTGCACACATACGCTAATTACATCATTATATGGATCTTGCTATCCACTATCTATGCTTGCTGACAATTCTAAGAAGTTATAGCCATCAGAGGTCTACCTTACTATGTTCAGACATGTGCCCTACTCTTTTATGAGTAATTCAAACTATAACAGTCTTAACACAGAGTGGAAAAAGCTCTAATGCTAGTTGAATATGCTTTACATTACAAGTAATGTCAACTTGATAGTCATCATGACTCATTTCTGAAGTAGCTTAATTTCATGTAAGAATTTCACTGATTCCTGTAAATGCAGATCAAGTGAGAGGTTCTGAATACCAATAGAAACATTGTAAAGTATAGGATACCAATGTGGGTTGTATATGAAAAGTATCTCTGTAGCAGTTACTATATTTCTGTTCAATTAATATGACATGTATTCTTATTGATTTTCCTTTAACTTGTTAAGGAAATAGACAATATAAAACACAAGCTTTACTCATAAAGATAAGTAAAATAAAATATTGGCCTACTAAAATATTCAGAATTTTTTTCCCCTCCTCTTTGTATCTGAACTGCTTTATAAAGATATATTTTTTCTGTTATTTATATATGCAGAAGCTATAGCTTAGTGGAGTAATTCAGTATAACTGCACAGCTAAGAATTCAGTAGCATTAGTGTCAAATATTTCTTCCTGGAATATTTGAAAGCTATTGTCAGTCAAAAATCATACTAGGTGGCATGGGAAAATCAGGCATCTTTCTACAGTAATAATTAGTGAGCTTGTGATGATACTGCTTCTTCAGAAAGCATAACCTAGATTCAATACAGCCATAGTTAGACTACACAGTAATCATATAATTACTGAAAACTTGGGAACAGATGCGTGTTCATGACAAAGAAATGAAGCAATACAGGTAATCCTTGACTTAGGACCATAATTGAGCCTGGAATTACACTTACAGCTTGTGGTGGTCCACTTAAACACCAGTCCTCATTTTATGACCTTTTTTGTGGTGATCATTAAGCAAATTCATTTTCCCCATGGACATTTTTTTGGCCAGAAACTGAAAGTAAAAGGCAGAAACTGGCAAAAACTGCAGTCACATGACTGTGGGATACTAACTAAATGCAGCCAGTTGCCAAGTGCCCAAACTGTGATCACGTAATTGTAAGGGAGTGTGGCCATTGGAACTTAAAAACCGGGTTATAAGTAGCTCTGGGGAACTCCATTGTAATTTCTAATTATCACTATTCAACTGGTCATTAAATAAGGACGACCTGTAATGCTTTTTTTTTGCCCAACTTATAGGCCTTGTCGTTTTTTGACTCTACTTGGGCATGGATTTACTAGGTTCAACTTTGTATCATGGAGGGACCAACAGAATAATCACAGTTATGGTGGGCAAGAAGGGAGCAGTTACAAATGCAAACAGTGAAAAAAATATTGTAGTGGAAGTGGTTGATGCTCTTCAGTTGTTCTGGACAGAAAACTCCAACTATGAGCAACCCTGAAAATTTTAATTAGAAAATCTAGAGGGCATTTGATTGTGTACCACAGATGTAAGCCTATGGTAGTCTATAGCTGCTCCTACTTACAAATTTCTAAGTTAAAAACTTTCTCCTACATGAACAAACTTTTCCACATCTCCAATCGCAGAAGGTGGGAAAAGACAGTAAAGGGTTAGTTTGTGGTGGAGTTGGGCTTGAAAATACCTGAAAGAGGGCCCAGAGGGTGGGGGTAGAGGGTTGCTTAGGCAGGGAGGAGTCTGTTCCACTTCAACGTCAAACCTGGGATGAGGGTCAATCAGGGGAGAAAAAAACATTGAGACACACTTGAGCCTGAAGAGGTTTATAGTAGAGAAATGGGGTACTGCAAGAACAGCCATTGGGACCTGGAGTCTGGCATCCCCTGTCACTGTGAAGCCCCCATCAAATGTGTTCCTACTTATGCCTGCGGAGAATGGAGTAGTGCATTTCTGTCCTCCCTCCGGTTGTGAATGGTGCCAGCACCTGATTGACTTGCTGGCAGCCCTTCCCTAAAAAGGGTCCTAATAGCCCATGAGAAAACTGGCCATGCCAGCAGCCAAAGCTGCAATGGATCAATGCAGGAGAGGACCTCTGTACCCAAAACCAGGCTCCTCTCACCTCAAGGAGGATGACTGCTCAGCTGCCCCAAGAGGCAAGAGGAAATTGATTAACTTGTTGCTAGTCAGAGGATGGGAGGGTTTGGGTTAGTCCTTGATCGATTGGGCGGAGAAATGTAACTTAATTTATGTAAAGTAAGAATTGTACTTTATATGGTTTTTTTTAAATACTTGATTGGACCTATGAACAAAATGGACTTACAAACAGCTTTGTAAGTAGAAGGCTGTCCGTACAGAGTTATTTTTTTCTCTCCAAAATATTTATGTTCAATATAGGCTGAAACTGATCTTATACTCATGCTTTTAAAAAAGTCTTTGTTATTTTATGCTATTTTTCTTATTACATGTTTTAATTTTGTCTTGAAGTAATTTAAAGTAATTAAATACAGGTGTTGCAATTTATTTTATATTACCTGCTAGCTTTGAGATATTTCAACATTAAAATGACTTTGGGATTCTTCGTTGTTTTTTTCTTGGCTATTTTATATGGTTTCAGATGAGATTTTTCTCTTATTCTTTTTTTACATCTAAACCGTATGAGTCTGCTTGATCATTTATTCAAAACCTATATTCTCTCTTTTCATGTTGTTGGCACATTAAGTACTAAATGCATGATACCTCTCATTTCTTCATGTTTAATTCTGCTGTGCTTTAGCCTTTTTAAAAAAACTTGTTTCTGAATGTATGATAAAGAGAAACAAATGTGCTATTATACTGATATTTTAATTATAGAGCATCATACAATATCCTTCATTATCCAGGAAATTAGCTAACAATATGTACTTATACAGTACTACTAGCAAAGTAAAATAAATTGCTTTTTTCCTACAAGTAGTCCTTGCCTTTATTATTTAACAGCTGTTACCACTATATATTAATGCCCTTACCATAAACCACAGTATTACTAGTATCAACTAGCAATGCATGCATAAATATGCCAAAGTTGAATTCATTAAATCAGTCTGTGTATGGATTCGCTCTTCCCTTAGGTGTGAAAACAGGCAAGAATGAATAATGCAGAATTACTGTACATCACAGTTTGAGTACATAATTATGTGACCTCGTGATATTAGAGATTAAAAACTTGTCAATATAATTGCTGAACTTGTTCTATAAAATGACTGACGAATATGAGAAAAAAAACCTTTCTTGTCATTGCAATTTTTGTTAAAGACCAGTTCTAATAATGCAGTCTTCTCTGGTAGACTTATCTAGCTGAATGCATGAATGCCACTGTGTAGCTAACAAAAGAATGAACATTTATATGAAAAGACTCTGCACATTCTTTCCCACAGAAATCAACGAAAGGATCGGTTGTCCTAGGCTACGTATTCCGGCATTTAAACCTCATTGAGATAGATTATTTTGGACTGCGGTACTGTGACAGAAGTCACCAGACGGTGAGTAAAGCTACAAGGGATTAGATATTCCAGAATAGATAGCAGAGTGACCTTTTTTTTCTTTTACAGTTCTGTTTTACACTGTCATATGCAGTTTCAGCAAGTTAGTTATTAAACAGATAAAATCTACATCCCATTAATGCATGCAAATTAATATTAAGTCAGGGATTCCTTTAGAGGGGACGTTTGGTAATTAGCTGTATAAAATTGCCTCTCCTATTCAGAGGAATAGATCCAAGTCTCAAAAGGCTAACATGTCAATAAGTAAATACTGTGAAGCTCACAGCTAAAATAAAATTTATATTAATGCTGAGATTATTCAATTGCCTGCATGTTATTTTTGAGTATCCTCAAACTCTCAGTGCTTAGTCTAATTAGGCATCTTTTAATCTCATTCTTGATGCTAAAGATGTATGGAAGGATAGCATGTATGGAGACTTTCCTGTTCAATAGATAGTTGCATTAGTTAGATTTTTATGGCAATGGGAGTCAAAAGTGCACATCCTGTCCTAAGCTCAAGGCTTATTCTAGATGAAATACTTGACAATAGGGAAATAAATTTCACATGATGGAATTTATTTTGTTAACTGTTTAAATTAGGACAATTGTCCACATATATTACAATGATGAAAAAGAATCATGTAGTTGGAGTGATGTGAATATGATTGTGCATGTTACACATAATTAACCTAAATAAGTATGAGCTTTCCAGATTCTAAATTAAGGGTTTGATACTTTCCAGTTAACTAGATTAGATTAGATTCAACTTTATTGTCATTGCCATGGATACAGGCAACGAAATGCAATTAGCATCCAACCAGAAGCGCAAAACAACAGTAAAATATAAATATATGTATGCAAATAGGCAAAACATCTATGAATATGTCAGTGGAAAACACAACAAAATGTATGTACACGAGCACACAAGGATAAGTGTGACTGCACATATTTGAACATATACAACTGTACAAAATGTTTATGGACACATTGAATATAAGTACAAATGCATAGAAAATTATACAAAATACATCATATATTTTCAAGGGAAGCATCAGCATATGTGTGGGGACAAACGAACTGAGGAGTTCAGCAAGGAAACCGCTGTGTGGTAAAAGCTGTTCCCTAGCCTGCTGGTCTTAGACTGCAGGCATCTGAACCTCCTCCCAGATGGAAGAAGAGTAAACAGTTTGTGGGCTGGATGGAAGGGGTCCTTAACGATACCGTGGACTTTACGCAGACATTGTTTCCTCTGAATGTCTACAATAACAGGAAGTGGAATCCCTATAATGAGTTGGGTGGTTTTCACCACCCTCTGTAATGCCTTTTTTTCTTTTATAGTGCAATTTCCATACCAAACTGAGATACAGCTAGTTAAGATGCTCTTGACTGTGCAGCGATAGAAATTAGTCAGAATAGCTGAGGAGAGGTGATTCTTCCTCAGTAATCTCAGGAAGAAGAGGCGCTGGTGAGCTTTCTTAATCAGACTAGTGTTAATCTGCCAGGACAAGTCCTCAGAGAGGTGGATCCCCAGGAACTTGAAGCTGGTAACACGTTCTACCATTTTCCCGTTGATGTATATAGGAGAGTGTGTGTGACTATTCTTTTTCCTGAAGTCCACAATGAGCTCTTTGGTCTTGTTAGTATTAAGTAATAAGTTATTGTCAGCGCACTACGTAGCTAGGCACTGTACCTCCTCCCTATACTCTGAATCATCGTCATCATTGATGAGTCCGATTACCGTAGTATCATCTGCGAACTTGGTAATGGTGTTAGAGCTATACACAGGCCTGCAGTCATAGGTAAAGAGAGAGAACAGGAAGGGGTTCAGCACACAGCCTTGGGGTACACCAGTACTCAGTGTGATAGTAAATGAAGTGGAGTTATTCAACTTGACGTGGTCTATTTGTCAAAAAGTCCAGTATCCAATTACATAGAATAGTGTTAATACCAAGGTCACAAAGTTTAATGATCAACCTGGAGGGAATGACTGTATTAAATGAACTGAACTGAAGTCAACAAATAGCATTCTAGCATAGGTATTCTTATTGTCCAAAGCTTCCTTATTCAAAAACTAAAGCTTTCTTATTCAAAAAAAAAAACCCCACCCAAACAGTTTTAACAGCATGACAGGAATATTGTATTAATTATTGGAAGAATAGGCCTACTTTTGATTTCAAACTGATTTTAGAGGCTAGATTTAGATGTTACAGTTTGGGACATCAGAATTCATATATGTTTGTGCTGCTGTTCATCTGTAATACAGTAAAATGCTCATAGTTTTCTCCTAGAAAATTATTAGAATAGCTCCATATTTTGAGGAAATTGGTTTAAAATTATATGACTGATACTTGTAGCCCTGCGGAGAAAGAAATATATATATATATATTTGACTAGCAGAACTAGATAATACTAATATTGATGATAGTTGTCATGAAGTGAAAAAGCAAAAATAAAACTGATCTTTTGTTTCAAGTTATATAAACAACTCAAGGAAAACTGATTAAAAGACTATAATTTATTGTATGCATTCATACCTGAATATGTTGAAATGAGTTATACATTCTAATGAAGATAAAGACTTTTGTGATAACATACATTTGATTAAAATGGAATATTCTACAAAATCAGATTAAAAATTATGGCAGTATAATATACAGACCTGCAATTTATAGTTATGCACCTGGGAAAATAATCCAGTAATTAAATCGAAACTCATTGGGGTGTGCAGATAACTTCAACTTGTCTACCAATAGAAAAACCCCTATATGAAATAATTATAATTATTATATGTCCCATTTCTGTGCGCATACACCTATTTTTATTAATATGCTATCTACACCATGATATTTGAGAATCTTTTGTTTAGAAGGGCAGTATTAGATGAACAAAGATATAGGAAATAAATAATTGCACAGTAAGGAAACTACAGGCTATCTATGAATGGCACATGCAAGCATTATTATTATAATCATATATATATGTATATATTTGTTTTCTTAAGTTTTCGCGGGTACTTACATGTATGGCATTCAGCTTTGTTCGGGTATTTTCCCACGTCATGGTAGTTGTGCTTTTAAAGTTGTAGCAACGTTTCGGCAGAATCTCATCTGCCATCATCAGGCTTCTGTATTGAAACGTTGCTACAACTTTAAAAGCACAACTACAATGACGTGGGAAAATACCCGAACAAAGCTGAATACCATACATACACACACACACACACACACACACAC